CGCATAAGCTCCTCGCGCGCCTCGCCGATACGCTCTCGGTCATTACTGTCTACTACGAAAATGAGACCCTGGAAACAACAGTTATTTCATTATCAAAGCAGGAATATGAAAAATGTTATCCTAGGAATTGGGATGATGAAAAAAATTATATTTAGTCAGTCAGACAAATAATAATATTGGACACGCATTTTTTCATTTTTTTCATAATTGAATAATTTCAGTATTAAATTGAGTTGAAATGTCGCGTGACGTCACTTCTAAGTAAAAAATCACATCTAGATCAATACATAAGCGTGACGTAACGCGCCATTTTAACTCTATGTGGGTCATTCCACAAAAATATGACAACTCTGTGGCCGCGCCACATATCACATGAAATATTTGTTAATATTTTAATCCAAAATTGTTAAATACGGTAGCCGTTTTTTGAATTAGTGCAAACGTGCCAGTTGTTGCGGAAACATGTGTTAATCCAGTCACTTCGTCAGTCCCTAGTTGAGTAGCTTTATTGATTACAATAAGAAATTGTATATAATTTAATTAGTATTTACGTGTGGTTTTTTGGCTATTTTCGGCACATCGTATTAAGCATCTTATAATATAAAGTTAATCTGCATTTGTGTTAAGTTTTACTCCAAATCGTCAGTCCCTAGAGCGTCAGGCCCTAGCTTTAAACGGCACTTGGGACTAAATTACTAGTTAGGGAATGATGTTTTTTATATAGTGATAATAACAAAACAACTACATTATGTATATTAACTTATCTATAAATGTTAAGGTTATAAGTTTTATACTTTATTAGAAGTCATATAGGAGTAATGTAGTATGAAAAAATTGAAAATTATAATTTCTCCTAAAATAAAGCATAAAATGACTGGCCCTTTTAGACATAACATAATTAATTAATAAACTATAATTTACACTAATAAAGTATTCAAAAGCATCTTAAAAAAGTTACGGACAAAATGACGTCGAAAATATACAGATTTTTATGGAATGACCCATGTAGCACTGTTATTATTTAATTATGAAAGAAAATAAAAAATACGAGTCTAATATTTTCTAATTATCTGTCTGACGGACAAATATGTCATCTAGCCTATTGGATAATTAACAGCTTTAACCAATATTTCGAGGATACTTTTTCAAACAAAACTACAATATTAGCTCTGAAAATCTAATTGGTTTCCAATTTGCAGTATACTTAATTAGATTTTTAGTAGCCTTGAAATCAATAAAATAGTCAATTAAGTAGGCAGAAATTGAAATCATAACTTACAAAATATGTAGTCAAACTCGACATCAAACTTTCTTTATTTACATGGAGTGTTAAATAGTGCTTACAAATCATCAAATATTTTAAAAAAATAAAAATAAAAGACTAATAAAATATGAATGCATGTTAAATGATTGTGTGTTGACAAAGTACCGAATTCACCTTACCACTTTTATCCCTATTCATATTGTTGAGTATCTTTAATTTATTCAAATGCTATGTAAATACAGAAGATTATTATATTATAGTAATGAGTTATGTAATAAGAAATTAGTTCAGCCAAGTACACATTACATAAACAATTCCTAGAGAAAAAAATGAAGTGAATTTAATTTAACATAATAATTATGAATATTTGACCCAGCACCCAGTGAAAGTATAAATAACCATTAAGTAAATAAAGCTATCTTAATTAAGGAAACCTCTTTATAATTCAAACAACTGTCCTCTTCCTGTGTTGCCTGGAATAGATCCCTTCCTAGTACAGTAGAATATCTATTATCCGGACTTCGATTATCCGGATATCCAATTATCCAGACTCTATTCTTCACAGTTTCTAATTACTGATTTAAGGCCTGGACCCATAAAAATGGAAGGCGTCGCCACCGTAACACGGTACGGACGTCGTCTTAGTTCATTGTAAAAAGTTAGTTATTGTTTGATTTTACTTTGAAATCGATTATCCGGAATACCCCTGGTTTTAATTGATCCGGATAATCGGGATTCTACTGTAATAAATCTGACTAAAATATGCCATTTCACTTTTGTATTATTTGGGAATTTATGTTCTTGCTGTCAGTCTTTTAAATAAAACCACAGTAAATGGATTATAATACTAAATGGAATATAAAACTTCATGTTGAGAGATTTAACTACAGTATATTGCACACATTATCATGAAATGTAATTTTATCAAAAATTTTACTGTTTCAAAGATAAAGGAGTAGTATTATGTACTTACATTACGAAATAATAAATTAATGTTATGGTAAATTGAATTTATCTTCAATAATCAGGTTAACACTATTATAATTTTACTAGATATAAAAAAAATACACATTTATCAAGGGCATATAAAAAACCAAGGGCTCTTAATTAAATTTATTATGAAGATTTTTTAAATGGTGTAAGTAAGATGTTTAATTTTTATTTTATTTATTGAGGTATACCAACAATTTGTGATTTATTTTGGGTGTTTGAACACCTTATTCTGCATGTATTCACTGCTTAATATTTTATGGAGGGGAAGAATTACATATTAGTATATTAAATAATATTGATTAAAATTTAATATGTGTTTTTCAACCTGTGGGTCGCGACCCCCTGGGGGTTCGCGAAGCCTCTTTAGGGGGGTCGCGAGAGCTCGTAAAAACTACCTCAGTAAAAAATCAGAGAAGTTGTAAAGCTAGATTTATCCGAAATCTAATTATGCAAATGCATAAATGTTGTACAGATTGAAGAATTCGGTCCCTACAACATTTTTTTAAAAAGCATGAAAAAAAAACGAGTGGTCGGGGGGTCGCAAAAATTTTTTTCTTACTAGGGGGGTCACGTCATAAAAAAGGTTGAAAAACACTGGATTAAATTGACTCATACAGACCTGTGTATTCTGGAAGTAATGCCTCCACAGTGGTCTGATTTTGTCTTGGCCACCGACGTCCCACACAGTGAAACTGATGTTTTTGTATTCTACAGTTTCCACGTTGAACCCTGAAATTCACAACACATTAATAAGTACATTCATTCCTAATTTGTGCCCAACAAGGTCCATAACAGTGGTCTCGTTTAGTTTGTAACATCCATGGTTTTGCATAAATTGAGTATTGAACAGAACAGAGAAAAATCACTTTGAATGTAAATTTTATCTATGACATCACTTTTGTAGATAATCATTCACAGTAAATACGGTTTCACAGGAGATAATAAAAATGAGTCTACATAAAAATAAATTTTAAAAGGCTTTATCCAATATGTCATCTTTATATCCCAGCCAGTTAGGAAGATGTTAGGAATAAACCAGAAACGATGCTTGGATGGAACTTGGAAGCAAGTTATGTTATTTAGGACAAGTAAATTACATGTCTGTTTGTTCATTTAAAAAGTATAAGTGATAGTGCAAACATAAAATTAGCTACTATAGTTTTAAAATAACCAAGCATTGAGTAAGTAATATCTCTTGAAGATTGATCTATAGGCCAAAAATCTAATGCCTGACTTGATTGAATGCACAATCTTATTACCTTGAGGATTGTGCAAGTAATTGATCACTGAGAGCAAAGGTTTTACAATGTGTGCTTTCACAAATATTGATCATAATCAACAGTGACATACATATTAGGCAACAATACCATGCAAAACTTAACTCATTATGTAGTTGGTGGTAAATTTCCACACCAGCAAGTTTCAAATCTAAAACACTGTTGCCTGGTTATTGTAGTGACACATTTAAGGAGATATTTCAAATAAAGTATCAATAAATACTGTACTCACCAATAGTGGGAATTGTTGTTACAATTTCACCTAATTTAAGTTTGTATAGAATTGTGGTTTTACCAGCTGCATCCAAACCAACCATCAATATTCTCATTTCCTTTTTGCCAAATAGGCCTTTAAATAAATTTGCAAACATATTCCCCATTTTGTAGCTTTAAGGATGATCTGAAACACATAAATATGTACATAATTAGGATATTCAGTCTGACTCATCCGTCAGAAGGCACGTTAGTTCAATCAATGATAATGACATGGCATGTCTTCGCTGGCAATACGTAGATGTTCCCACTGTGCAAGTCGGTACGTAGGCAACAAAAGACATTTGATCATTTAGAACACACCAACCTAACCTATTTTGTAGCTAGTTTTAACGTTTAAAACGAATGTATGTGGCCTCAAATAGAGATTTATTACAAAGCTATTCGACACTGCTGTTGGTCTTGGCTGCGGTTACCACCCTCACTCGTAATTCAAATAATATGCAATTATTGTGCAATTAGATAAGTTTTTTTAGTTTTAAATGTAAAACATACACTAATTTGATGTAAATATACTTACATTTTCAAGAACAAATAACTATTTTATCAAGAAAAAACGCTACACTCCACTGAATTCTTTACAATTCGCTGGATGTCAAAATGGCGGCGAACGTGGAAGTTGTTCGTGCCTATGCCACGTATTGGGAGAAAAGTGGCCAGTGATAAATAATTTATAAGTTATTTAAATTAAATCATTTTATGAGATAAATCAGGTAATAAAAGATAATGTGTTAAAATATAATTAATTTTATATTAAATTTAATTGTTTTAATAAAATTAATAAAAAATGTAATCGCCTCCAATGATAGCCATAGATATTATAAAAGTATCGACGAAAAATAAATAAACTAGGAATATGAAGTAAAAATGCCCTGTTGTTGTGCCCTGTAAATAACTAAAAAGTTGTCGAGACATAATCTAATTATCTTCTATAATTGCATTTTATAGAATGAGTGATCATCGAATAATAAATGAAGGTTTTTTACGTTGAAAACAGATTGGAATTTGACAGTTGATGGACGGATTTGGATTGGGATTGAGCCAATAAAATGAGCGTAAACCAATATTTTATATGGAGGGTGAATAAGGGGGTGAATTGTTATTATCGATAGTGTTTGTAAAATCTTTGGCCAGTTAATATTTTATACTCTTTGCCTTCAATCAGCTGTTGAATGACAGTTGACAGATGAATGACAAAAATGTCATTGTCAATGTTGTTTTCATCTTTTCGTGTGTGGTTTTAAAATATTTTTTTCTAAAACCCTGAATTACTTTTAATTAAAATAACAAAGAAATGCAAATGTACACAAATAATTATACTTCTTGTATGTAACTTTTGTATGCAGTTAATTTAGCGACATAATTTTAAAGTAGAAAACATGGAAGATATAAAAGAGTGGCTTTCGCTTCCTCCGCAGTATACTACGTTCAGAGTAAATAAACTGAAAAAATTTGATTGTAATACCCTAGAAACTTACCTCAGTACTGTAAGTAAATATGTTCAATTGATTTCGTAATTTCATTGATGTTTAATATTTGTTTTGAATGAGCGAATTTTTAGAGCCCATGTTACTTTCAGAAAGCTCCTGAGCTAAACACAACCTCTTTGCCCAATTATTATTTCTTAAAACCGGATTGCTTGGTGGTGGAGCAATGGCCGGTTGACGTGAAAGTTGATAAAGGACGAAAAGAGGTTATTGTGGATGCATTATGCGCAGCGGCTGTATTGAGAGGGGCACACGTGTTTGCTCCTGGGGTGGTGGGCATGCCAACAAGTATGAATATTTATTACCTATACCTAATTTAAAACAGAATACCCATTCTAAGAAGAGTCTATACAAACTAGTTAGAACTTTGTAACTCCCATAAAATCATTATTTTCAAACACTAAGGACTTGCACCTTCCTCAAGTACATACCAAGTTTTTAAAATAAATCTACAATAATTTGTTAAATTTGGTCTATGTTTCCAGATTGTCAGCTGGATGAAATGGTTGACATTTACGGAGATATAGATGGTCAATGTAAACGAGGCCTCAAAGTCACATTTCAGGGTAGAAAACTCTTTGTAGGCACTGGAGTGTTGAAAATGTTACGGCGTGACTTATTTGATAATGGAGTACAGCCAAGGTAATAACGATGAATGTCATTATTGTAAGGAGTTATTTTTCAATATACTTCATTTAATTAATTGATTGTTATACTTGCCTTTTTCAGTGGCATAGCTATAGAGACACTTCTTCCAGCGTCAAGGCTACCTGTAGTCAATGAAACAATATGTCCTCCTGGAGTCTTATTATTGCAAAATCTACCCTCTATTGTGTGTGGGTGGGTTGTGAATGCTTTGCCTCATGAGCTCATCCTAGACATGTGTGCTGCACCTGGTAATAAAACAACCCACTTGGCAGAAATGTCCAATGACCAAGTAAGTTAAAAGCATTTACTATTACAGTAGAACGCCGATTATCCGAATTAATTGGGACCGGGGCCGATTCGGATAATCGAAAATTCGGATAATCGGACATAGACTGGTAATAAAGAAAAAGCATGTTAAAAACGAACTGTCACACATAGAATAAACTTTAATAACTGTGTTTACAGTTCTACAAGTCGCTCAGTTGAAATATATCTAGACTCCTGCGAGTTCCAACTTGTTACACCAATAGAAAACAAAAAATACTTGGGTTTTAATTTTTTATATTAAGCTTAGGACCGATTCGGATAATTGGCGATTCGGTTAATCGGCGTTCGGATAATCGGCGTCCTACTGTATTATTTACGTTTATTTTTATTTTTTAATTATAGTCTTTTACAGGCATTTATCATAGCAATGGATAAAACAAGACAGAAAGTCGAAAAGTTAAAAGAAAACTGTATAAAACAAGGAGTAACATGTGTCACTGCTTATGCATTTGATTCAACAAAATGCTGCTCAAATGACAGTAAAAATATAGATAGTGGCCCTCCATTTCCACCAAATAGTTTTGACAAAGTCCTCCTAGATGCTCCCTGTAGTGGACTAGGCCAGAGACCTCAGTTAAATAATAAAATGACACCAAAAATGCTGGAATCATACAAGGTTGTTCAACGAAAATTAATGAAAGCAGTAAGTAACAAAGCCAGACTAAATCAGAATGAGAGTTGAGAAAATCTTAATTTCTCAACTTATTCTGAGACATAATGTATTGGCACTAATGACAAATTCAATATTTTCAGGCTGTTGACGTACTGAAAGAAGGTGGAACATTGGTGTACAGTACTTGTACTGTTACCATAGATGAAAATGAGGGCTTAGTACAGTGGACTTTAGAGAAGTTTCCATGTCTACGTCTAGTTCCAGCTGAGCCCCTCCTAGGTGGGCCCGGTTTGTCCGGCAGTGGCCTAAATGATGATCAAAGGTGAGAGAAAAAAAACTTTAAATTTTGCATAAACATTTATTCAATTAATGAAAAATATTATAATGTGGCAAGTGATGTACATACTAAGTCTTTTTGGCTACTGGCCTTGAACTATTCTGATAGCCAGTACAATTTAATAATCCAAGCTAAGTGCTGATAAATAAGGATGTGAGCAAGGTTAATACTATGGTTATGACCTATCAAGTTGTTCATAGTTACTGTATATTATACAAGGTGTTTGGCGCATCGTGTGCCAAAATGATTTGGCGTATAGAAGTGGCCATTTCCTATATTTTCAGCCCCCATAACACGTTCCATGCCAGGCGGCTACTTTTCTATTAATTTTTTTAATAATTTCACCAAAATACCCAAATCGCATCATTTNAAAAAATATTGTCTTTTTGAAATGTTCTTACACTATTTATGGCGGTTAAATCACAGTTTGTTTAGCTATCACATCACTGAATTACTTATTTTTGTATCACAAGTATTACATATTACTTATTTAAAATTGCCGTTATTACATTATTTTGTTATAAATAATTGACTTCACTAAAAAGTATACTACTTATATTACTGCTATTAAAAACCAATCACCATACCATAAATAATTTCATTTATTACTTTTAAAGAAAGGTGTGTACATGTGGAAACGCAAACATGTTTTGTCGTATAATATAATAAATATACCTACATTAGAACCAATTTAAATTTAACAGTTTTTTGGGAAAATCCTCTTGTTTAAGTTTGTATAAAAACCTGTATTGAGAGCACGTACATGCACGCACAGGGTAAAATTAATCAAGTTGCATTAACTAGCTTTTATAGACATTTGCGGGAATGCCCGCTGTTCCACTAAAAAGTCGATTACATTGGTCTACATTGATCATTAATTGTTTCAGAGTAATGGTGCAAAGATTTGGCCCAGAAATTGATAACTTAAGATTAGCAGAACCAATATATCGAGATTCCATTGGTTTTTTTATAGCAAAGTTTACTAAATCTCACTGAATATTGTACTCTTTATTGTACTATAGATATTAACTAATAAGTTTATTTTTCTATTATTAATCATTCATAAAATTTTATTTAAATATTCTTTATAAAAATTTGATAATAAAACTATTTGAAATACATCGTTATTGTTCTTTGTAATTATGAAGTATTTCTGGTTTGTTTACTTTGCTTTTGCATTTAGTTCAAACATAATACTATTCTTATTCTATTTGCATTTTATGCAACCAAAAAGATAATTATATTTTTTCAAGTCGGACCCACAATCCTTTTCCAGTTTTCAACAGCATACTTCTCTTATCAAAATGAATAGGGTCCTCAGTTTTATCGCAAACTGAAAATTTGAAATTCTTCATAAGTGCAACCATCGCCATCTTTGCGGAGAACATCGCAAATCTTAGACCTGAAATAAATAATAATATTTATTTTTGTATTAGGTACTAGTTATTTGAAAAAAAATCACTGTCCATATACAAAAACGGGTGGGGTGTGTATTATGCAACAAGAGTTGAAGCGATCAACACAAGTAAAAATTTCTTTAGGTTTATTTTCTTCAGTGTGAGCCTCAACTTTCGTTGGGCGACCCATAGGTGTGTGTTGTATAAATCGCTACTAACCAATACAATTTCGTGGCCCGACTCCAAATGCCAAAAACAAATGAGATGGTCTATTCTTCTTCTCTTCGCCCATAAATCGCTCAGGTCGAATCTCCTCCGGGTCTGGGTAGTAGTCGGGGTCCATATGAATGCCGTAAATCGGTAGTGCCACAATTTCTCCTGTCTGCACTTGCACCGATGTACCGGGTAAAGTATAATTTTTCGTGCAAACTCTTTCCACTCGACCTACTGGTGGATATCTTCGTAGGGTTTCTGGAAATTGAAATCATACCTTATTTTATACAGTGTGAGTCACGTTAAAGTGTACATATGAAAATAGATGAAACTAGACCTATTTTTATCGACAAAAAAGAGGTCAACATTTTTTGTTTTTTTTTTTATTTTTTATAAAAATTTTTTTCTTCCAATTACTTATTGTAAAGAAAACGTAATAACTTTTAAACTAAGCGGTATATCCTGATAAAATAAAAACATTAATAATGCTAAATAACAGGCAATACTAAAAAAATACATAAAATACACAAAAAAGGCCAACAAATAATTAAAAAAAATACTTTTTGAAAAAAATCTGCTTAAAAATTCGTGTTTTTTGGTTATTTGATAAATTTCTCTAAAAAATGCCCCTATAACCGGCGGTTTTTATTACTTTGTATTATTCTCTATCGTATTACCTTCGTAAAACCAAAAATCGCATGTCTCTATCCCTATCACAACGTTTGCAATGATCGTTTGAACTAAGCCTCTCCGGGCGCGCCATTCAACGCTTCGTTAACAACGAAACTGAAAATGGCTCTAGATTTGTAATTTTGATAAAGACAAGTTAGATTTCAAATAAAAACAAAAGATTTCGAAGTAAAATAAGCATTTTAGTTACAATTAAAATTGTCTCTACCTGTAGCGGAGAATAATGTTGTGGCAGGCCTTTGTTCAAACGATCATAGCAAATGTTGTGATAGGGATAGAGAAATGCGATTTTTGGTTTTAAAAAGATAATACGATAGAAAATAATACAAAGTAATAAAAAACACCTGTTATAGGGGCATTTTTTGGAGAAATTTATAAAATAATCAAAAAAATACGAATTTTTAAGCATATTTTTTTCAAAAAGTATCATTTTTTATTATTTGTTGGCATTTTCTGGGTATTTTATGTATTTTTTCAGTATCGTCTGTTATTTAGCATTATTACTGTTTTTATTTTATCAGGATATACCGCTTAGTTTAAAAGTTATTATTACGTTTTTTTTACAGTAAGTAATTGGAGGAAAAAACTTCTATAAAAAATTTAAAAAAAATCTCAAAAATTTTTTGACCTCTTTTTTGTCGAAAAAAATAGGTCTAGTTTCATCTATTTTCATATGTACACTTTAACGTGACTCACACTGTATTTGTTTAGATTCAACTATGTACAGTCGACAGCAATATTTGTTGAAAAATAGCTTCCTATTAGTACTAATACGTAAGCCGTCGTCTTAACTGCAATTATAATCTATCTATGGGTTTCGTATCAATTCGTTTATCAGTGTCTCGATCAGAAAACTCGAGCACGTTTAAAGTTTCTAAAAAATATTATGTCTAAAATGTACTTATATCTTTGGATTTGGAGTGAGTGTGAGTACTATTAGGCTTACTATACAACTTACCTACTTAGTAATAATTAATAGGATAGGTTAATAATTGTGAGTGTGCGCAATTTTTCTGTGATAGATCATTAGAAGTAATCTTCTGTGAAACTGCACCGTCATTCACGTCATACCTAATTACCGATGACACACATTTTGACTATGTCTAGGACTTTATACCTTAGTTGCAACGAGGACTCATGAGTTTTATTGATAAGGTCTTTACTTTAGATAGTAGGATGATAAACATTGCATTTTACACCACATATATTTACTAATATCACAGATAACATAAACTAACTATAGTTTATCTGATATCAAATCGTTTTACACCTGTTGTTTTGACTGGAAAACTTATAAATCATCTTAGATACATATCTACCAGATAAATGCAAAATTATAACTATTTCGTGGTTTTAATGTCCAATGCACAGCAAAATAAGTCATGCATTTCACAGAAACATTACCATCTTATTCCTAAGTCGTTTATCTTAACTTCAGCACCTGGTTCAACGAATATTGTTACCGACATTCAAATCTAAATTATAGGCAGCCTATCTGCTTGATGGAAATCAGTGGTTTGAAATAACTAGGTTTTATTATTGTCTGCCACGAATTTAAACTGGGAGCTATAGACTATGTCATTGTTTTGACTATAATTTTCGCGGTCAATAAAGTGTAGGTATCATTATAACTCACCCAGCAAAAAGCCTTCAAGGTAATCCAGCTGACTGAGAAGTTCGTAGCTCATCTCTTTGCCGTCGGTCATTTCTTCTATGTGTTCCCTCAATTTGGTTTGCAGCTCAGGTTTGGTGGCGAGCACGTGGAGAGCGAAAGACAAAAGAGTGCTGGATGTTTCGTAACCCGCGATGAGGAAAAGTAACGACTGCGCGTCAATAGTATCATCGTCCAAATCTGTAATAATCGTCTCATTTAAATACTATACTCGTAGCTGACAAAAGTTAAAAGAACTTTTTAACTTCCGCTATGAGTAGGGTTACCATTCGCCCGGGTTTCCCCGGATTTGTCCTATGGGGGTGGGGTTTAATTTGTAGCCCGAGTTTAAAAATATCATTCTTAGACCGATGCCTGGTGACGCGATTAAAGGCTGACTAATTGTCATTGTCATTTTCATTGGACTAAATCTAAATTAACTATGTGAAAGTTATGTGCTTTACTTAATTCAAAACTTCCTGCATTGTTCAGGTAGTAAAATACCTACCTAACATACACTTGCCTACTTTCACAGAAAAACCCATGTCATCATTAAATGATAAATTAATGACTCAAGATGATGTCATGCCAAGATAAAATTTTCATGAAAACAAAATACAGGGTATCCCAAAAAGTAAAGTCAAGCCGAAGCCCAGAGGTAGAGCATCACCCCTATGTATGTTCCGCAATCCCTCTAATATTATTATAAATGCGAAAGTTTGGATGTCTGGATGTTTGTTACTCTTTCACGCAAAAACTACTGAACGGATTTTGATGAAACTTTACAGTATTATTGTTTATAGCTCATAATATAACATATAGGCTTAATAAATTTATGACGATCTGTGACAAACTAAATTTCACGCGGGTGAAGCCGCGGGCAAAAGTTAGTTTTTCATAGTTTAGGAGTTATCGTTAATTTTTTAATTTTTAAGAAATTTATGACATAGTGTGCCTTAAACTTTTTTTTCGGGTTGACATCTCATCTTTTTTTTAGAATCTATAAATTGCAGGTATAGATGACCCACGCTGAACTGTCCCACCAAACTCAATGACAGGGGGGCGCTACCATCGTTCGACTATATGGTTTCCAACATGGCAAAAATCAGAACCAGCGATCCGGTATTGACGGTGGCGCCCCACTGTCAATGTCATGCATAGGACAGTTCATTATTTTGGTACTATACATATGTAAAAAAAATTCACCTTCCTGTCATTGACGCAAGATACAGAACTTTTGCTAGAAACTTAAAAAACCTACTTTTAGCAAAACATTATAAAATTTTAAATTAAAAAAGAACTTCTATAGGTTCTAAGCAATGCGCAGTTATCTGAACTTTATTGTTAGTACAAAAAAACATTGTACCTACTTAATAGGTCTTAATTTCCTGTAATCACTCCACTGAAGTAGTAAATCAGACATTTCTTTACATGTTTTTGACTTTCTTAGAGTGAATATTGAATATTGGAAATCATAAAGTTTCATTACGTAGAACACTTGTAGAGACAACAACTGAAAAAAAACATTTGTTTATCCACAAAATAAGACCTTCATCTCACCAGATGAAAAGGTATAATAAATTTTTTTTCAAAGTATTTGAAGTGAAAAAAAAATATTTTACACTTTCAATACTTACTTAATTACCAATACCTACTTTTTGGGACACCTGTATATCACCAAACATGTTAATTACTTAGTGTTCTAACTTTAGCTACAGCTACAGCAATTTTACCTGTTAAACCGGTTTCGAGTCTAAATTCACGCGTCTACGTATTTCGTTTACACAAACCATCATCATGAATTACCAAAACATGTTTTGTTTATTTCCTCATAGCGATCAAAGTCCAAAAGTCCGTTCTCTGTTTTGTATCCATGATTCATAATAATCCTAATAATTCGTGTCATTAACTTTAACAATGAGGATCATTTCGATTTTTAGCTGTGAATGCAGATTTATAGGGCTAAGAAATCCTTAATACACAGTGCAAAAATTTTTGTTCTACGACAAAAATTGACGAAGTTATGGCCAAATTACTAAAAAAGTTCACTGACCGCCCGGCGTGGGGACGATGACGTCATTATATCCGATCCGAACGCTGCCGGCGTACTGCGTGGATAGAAAATATTTTTTTCTAGCCAAATTATCAGTTTTAGAGAAAAAATTGTAATGACATTTATTCATCAGAATAAAGTAAGCTATCGATAGGTAATTTTTAAAAATGGAAATTGTGAAAAATAACGGAAAAAATCCATACGCTCATACGATTCAATGGCACGCAGAGACGCGATTGGGGTCTCCGCGGTGGTATATTTGGCGATTTATTCAAATAAAGTGTACATAAGTGTTGTTAGAGTCATATCTTCTTCCAAGTAAAATATAAAAATGTATAAGTATTAATTTATTTACTTCTAACAATAAGGTATAACTTCTAACAATAAGACATTGCTATGAAAATCATTTCGATGTAAACTTAATAATACCTACCTGTTATTTAGTTTTTCTGAGTTAAACCTACGCAACTACCTATCTATTCGCCGTTCCCATGGGCGGGCCAGCTGCTGCAGGAAAGGACAGCCGCTCCGTGCTGAAAATCTATTTAATCTTAGCCTAGAAGCTGGGTATGACTACCCCGCCCCTCTCCTCTCCCCAGGTCATAAGCTGGGCATGACTTCCCCCTCGGCCAGAAGTTGGGTATGATTTACCCGTATTATTATGTTCAATACAAACAATCATTAAGTTACACTCACCCCAACCGCGTCTCCGCATTGCATCGAATCCTATGAAAATGTGGTTTTTGGACATAGCAATACTTATTTTTCACAATTTTTATTTTTAAAAATTACTGGTCGATAGGTTACTTTATTTTGAAGAATAAATGTTATTAAAAGTTTTTTTCTAAAACTGATAGTTTAGCCGGAAAAAAATATTTTCCATCCCATTAGTACGCCGGCTGCGCTCGATTCGGATATAATGACGTCACGCGGCCTTGCGCACGTTGACTTTTAGCGGCAAAAACGGCCTATGTTTATTACTTAATATCTTCGTAAGTAATGGTCCGATTTGGATAATTCAAAAAGATATATCTTTCTTATGTCTTAAAGATTAACGTAGATACTAGTTTTATTGAATTTTCTACAACAGTACTGATCCTCATTCTGGATATTTACGCATAGTATCAATAAAAATAATGATCAAGTAAGTACTTAAGTACCGAAACAAATTTAGCCAGCTATTATTAGCTTGTCTGTTAACATCATGACTTCTAAGATAATTTTAAAACCATTTTAAATTTATTTCCTTCTAATTTCAACGAGTTTATTTATAATATTCAAAATATTCTGTTTATTTCTAAACCACCATCATGACGAACATGAATTAACCATAACTTATTTCCCCAAGTGATTCAGGATCAAAGTCCAAATGTTCATTTTCTATTTTTTATGCTGAATCACGTTTCTAATAAAAAGGACGCTGATTGACCTCAATAATCAATTGAATTTTTTTTTTTTGTGCTGCCAAAAAACCCGACTTACTCTGTTTATTTTACAAACAAACGTCTGCATGAACAGGCATTATTAGAACTTATTTATTCAGTAAAGATCAAATTCCAAAGTCTAATAATTTTATTTAACTTTAGTTAATGATAGTTCACAGAATCACAATCTCTGTTTATTTCTCAAACAAGCGTCAGCATGAACATGCATTACTAGCAGAACTTATTTAAGTAAGGACCAAAGTCCTAAGTCTTAATTTTTTTTGTTTATGAGCTACGAAATGATGCGGTTTTTCCGTGTCATATTAACAAATTACTAAGCTCCCCTAAGCTCGTATGCCTGTTTGCTATTATCATTTTTTTCTCTGACATGTTTTACCGAAATAATTCAGTGAGCGAAACTAATTACACTACTGCAAGAAAGATTATTTCTTTTATCGGGCGATATGGCCGGAAAGATTATCGCAACGCTTCATAATTTTAATTTTCAAAAAGGACATCATCCTTTTTGGTCCAAAATCAAAAGTGCCGGCAAAAAAATAAAAGTGCTGTATTCTGATAGAACACGTCCGCCTTAGCATTTGTTACTATGACACCAAAGCTGTAGCACCACTGTGCATCGTAGTATTTGAGTTTTAAAAGTTTGTCTTTTTAACATTTACGATTAAACTATTTACTAAAACAAATGAAGTATCTTGCCGAAACATGGCGTTTTTAATATGTTCTAGTTAACACGATGTACTTATTGTCGTTCACATACACTGCATACCCAAAAAAATGCACCATGAGTACCTACAAACAATAAAAAGGAATGTTAAAACTAGACGCGGCTTATCACTTCTAGGAATTAGACCAATAGCCTTACCCTATCGTCATACAATGGGCACACTGCCGCACCGCACCACAACACCCCTTTTTTACTGGTAAAAATGCGTTGAATCGCATACCTACCCTGCGGGGACAGGGTCAGAAGGACGAGGCATACCCACCAAAAAGACCCCGGTACCCCGTCGCTCGCCCTAAGTGGCAGGAAACTGTGAGGTTCCGGACAAAGCCTTCTCTACCACAGCCTCTCCCGGCCCTACAAGCCTTCCAGGACGGGGGGGGCGACAGGAGCAGCTGGGAGCGCTCAGCTGTTCCCGTCCGACGGTGGTGGTGACCTGTGCAATCAGGTGGGGGCGCCCCCGGCCCGCTGGCCATCACCGAGGAGAGGAAACTGGAGGCGATCATATATTGTCGCCTCCTCTGATCCCTCCGCCGTCGCCGGAACGAGGGCGCGTCTGGATCATCCTCACGCTCTCGCTCTGCAGCCTCTTTCTGAGACATCACCACAACACCCCTTTTTTACGTGCGTACCCCCACGCTTTGGCCGTAGCCTCACTTACATGGTCGCCTTCAACAAGGCAACTCCCTCCGAAACGGACGGGCTCGGCACGCACTTCGGGCCTCAGTGTCACATAATAAGCAGCGGAGAACTTGGACCGAGCACACTTTGGCCTTATGGTCAATGCAATGCTCGGCTTCAACAGTGTTACATGACAGAACGAGGAGATTCCCTCCCTCAACCCTTCACCGCCGGTCTCGCGCTCCACCCGCGTGTGTCGGTCACTGTCTGTTTATTTCTTTAGTACCGAGAGCGAAGTTGTCGTATGTGTTCTCCCAGAAAACAGCACATTTTTTTTCGCCAGCACTTTTTGATAATGCACCAAAAATATGAAACGTGGATGACTTTGATCTCAAATTCTACGACGCACAGTGGTGCTACAGCTTTGGTGTCAAAGTAACAAATGCTAAGGCGGATGTATTCTGTCAGAATACAGCACTATTTTTTTATTGGCCGACACTTTTGATTTTGAACAAAAAAATGTATGGATCGTCGATGACTTTTAGATCTCAAATACTCGACGCACAGTGGTGCTACAGCTTTGGTGCCATAGTAAGAAATGCTAAGGCAGACGTATTCTGTCAATATACAGCACTTTTTTTTGTTAGCCGGCACTTTTGATTTTGAACAAAAAATGTATGAATCGTCGATGACTTTAAGATCTCAAATACTCGACGCACAGTGGTGCTACAACTTTGGTGTCATAGTAACAAATACTAAGGCAGACGTATTCTGTCAATATACAGCACTTATTTTTGTTGGCCGGCACTTTTGATTTTGGACCAAAAATGAATGAGACGTGGATGATGTCCTTTCCACCACTTACATTTGTTTGGGCGCTCAGGGTCAGATTTTTCTTTTTCGGCGGCATCAATAACTAATTGAAGGAAATCATTTTTTCTGGAACAAAATATTTAATATTATATTAAGTCACACTACTAGTCTATTTGTGCCCTACATACTTATTAATTATTATAAAAAAAAATATTGGAATGCCAATAAAATGTTATAAAATATTTTATAAAAAAAAATCTTACTTGGTGCCTGATAGCTTCCTTTCTGATTTAGCGACTTTCAATATTCTTAGTAGCTCTTCTATGCTCTTGGGGTAGAAGAATGATATATTAAAAAATCGCAACATCTTCGGCATGAATACTAGAAAGAAAAAGATGCACAATCGCTTCAATCTCGGCATGTAATTAAACTTTTCTGCTACCTGAAAATAAAATTTCATAAAAATATGAGGCGATGGAAAAATCCCCACCTGTATTAGATTCACATACATACAGGTTGATATTTTCAGTTTTTTTTTTTCGTTTACACCGGCAAGAGGCATGACAATAAAAAAAATATTAAGGACTTTTTATTGTTTTTACCAAAATCACATTCAAGGGCCAAGACTTTTATCATACTTATTGTTCACAACTTTATATCAGACAATTAAAAGTTGTATCTATTTATTTATTTATTGATAAAGGTACACCAACAGCATTCTATTTGAGCTTTTTTCTATTTACATAATTATAAATAGGAAAGCAGACATACTTTGACAAAATGCGCGTTCTCGTCGGTCAACGCATCACACCTAATCCCAAATGCGCAAGCTCCTATCACTTCTAGTGTGAAGTGTCCCATAGTATCTTTCATTTCAACATCTTTGTTATCTAAAAGAACACAAATGCTTGTTATATTGACCTACTTTAAAATCTTTAATAGTCATTAAAATAAATTACTAAATTAATTAATTTCGAAAACTTACCATATTGTTTCAGAAACTCAACCATTTGTTGAGAACAATGTTGAATTAAAGGGAGCATGTTTCTCAATCGTGAAGAACTGAATGTTGGAGTCAAAGTGCTTCTCACTCCTTTCCATTCTGGACCCTATGAAAAAAAAAAATTTTTTATAGATTATCCTCCCTGTAACTTTTAATAACATTTGTTTAACAATATACCTTCAAATTCAGTAATGACTGTTTCAAGTATCTTGGTTCATTCGAGTTCAGGGTACTTCTATCGACAAAATGATCAAAATCTCTAATTGTGATTGCCTTGATGAGTTCAGGATCTAGAATGTACAATACAGGTCGACTGCCTTCAAAAAGACCTGTAGAACAAATAACACCGGTCAACAAAAAAAAATTTTTTTTTGCGCATGGATTTTACTTATTATATTCTGATTATATAAGCAAATTTATATAAAAAAGTGCGATTACAAATCGAAAATATTTGCTTTTTAAGAAGTAATAGCGATTTGAATTTTCCATCTTCATAGTAGAATGTCTCTAAAGATGCACGTCCCATTCTCATTGGGATATATTTACAAATAATTATGGGGGCTTATTCGCAAGAACAAGGGGCACGCTTTCATCAAAATATAGTGAGATTTGAGAGACGACGTTACCAAGGCCAGTATACTGAAAGCATGATAGGGTTAGATTTTTATGCGAAAAATCTTATATGGAACATGACAGGAAATTAGAACTTTTCATTTTTAATAAATATTTGGACTATTTTAAATTTTCTCTTGTGAGAATTAATCTTAAATGGATGTTTGATATGTTTTAATAATTAGAAAGAATGAAAGAAAGAAAGAAAAAAATATATTTGGCAACCAATTGAATCATCTCTATGTTCACGTTTCATACATTCATTGATATGAATTTTTCTATTTTTTACACATAAAAGCAAATTCAGAACAATTTTTTGTTGTTATTCTTATTTCTAGGTCATAAAGCAATAAAAATAAGCTATGCATAACCCGTGCGCAAAAATGCTGTAGACAGTTGTAATAGATATAATACAACTGATTGTTCGTCGACTGTGTTGTCTGTTACTTTATCTTCAGTGTGCTGTTAACAATAGGTAAATGTTTGGTTAGAGACGGGTCGTTATGGGGCACGAGACTTAGAAAAATTTGTAATAGAGTAGGTAGGAAAACCAGCCAAATTGAATCAATTCCTGTACATAGGAAGTTTTTAAATAAAAATACACAATAATCAAATATAATATTCTTACAATGATATGTAAATTAGTTCTACTCTTCCTAAAAACAATTTCAGATAAATAGCAAACTCCCTAGAATCTTAAATTATTTTAATAGTATATTTTACTTAATCTAATGTTTAGGTACTTACCCCCATATGGATTTCCTTTGAAATAATTGTAAATCTCATACTGATAACAGTGAAAAGATTTTTTTGCAGTTATTCTTGGACCCAGACTACCCAAAAATATTATGGGCTTCATATATTTAATACCTTTTTTTTCAAAATAGTCAAATGTTCTGGTGTAGTAGAAATAAATAACGAATATCAATGTAAGAATTAGTAACAATTTCCAATCGGCTATTATAAAATCAAGTAATTTCTTCGTCCCGCTGAAGTATTCCATTTTAGATTTTTTTTTTCACTATAATATATTATTTAAGTTTAAAAATGTATTAACTTTTTAATAAATCATCTAGAACTATTGCTAGAACTTCACTTTTTCTTTTATGTCCACAGCACAGATGAGATCCACAGACAGTGTTGCCAGTCGGGTCTAGTCAGAAATTACCAGAAATATAAAAAAAAGTAACCTTTTTGAATAAAAAGTAACCTTCATACGGGGGGGGGGGTTTGGGGTGCGGAGCGATGATTGTGTAAGGTTGTTCAAAGTGACCAGTCGTATAAAAACGTTTCATGGATTTGCGTTTTATTTTCGAAAAACATTCGCTAAAACTCATTTTTTTAACAATTAATAAATCAAATTCAAGTTTAAATGCACTTTATGACATAATTTTTAAATTGTCACTATTAATATTTTTTACTGAATAACCTGTAAAGTTAATTCTACAATTTCTGAAAAATCACCTAAAAGTAACCTTTTCATTAGTGTAACCTAAAAGTAACCACAGCGGTTCAAAAGTAACCAAAAAGGTTACAAAAGTAACCTTCTGGCAACACTGTCCACAGATAACTATATATTAGTCGGAGTTTATCTATGTATTACTTTTCTCTATGGTTTATGTCGCGCAGCGTTGCAGCGTAGTAAGAAAGAAAAAAAACTATACCTAAAACTTCCATATAGTTCCAAAATACTGGACTGTCCTGTCGATGACATTGACAGTGGGGCGCCACCGTCAATACCGGATCGCTGGTTCAGATTTTTGCCATGTTGGAAACCATATAGTTGAACGATGGTAGCGCCCCCCTGTCATTGAGTTTGGTCGGACAGTTCAGCGTGGGTCATCTTTACTACGGTCATCCAATTGAAACTTGCTTCCAAACAGCGACATCGGTCGATAAATTCAAATACTTTTTAACTACCCTAAAACGCTCTAGATTTCGCTGCTCCTGTTTCCTTCATATTTTCATTTTTTTCTTAATTAAAATATATTTGAGAATATTGTTAATTACAATGTGAGAACTTTTTTTAAATGAAATTAATTTGTTTTAATTTAAAACTGAACGGTGACATTTTTTGTTATAATTTACATAATAGAGTAGTAGAAATTACTATTTAACATATGGCAACTTTGTTTTTCCTCCAAAATGGCCGGTGTTGTTTTTGCTATGTTAAATGCATTCTTGTTTTCTTGGCCATCATTTAAGTGTTCTGTGGCCAAGGAACTTATATATAAGTTCCTTGTCTGTGGCCCTATTAAAGTATTGAAGAGTCGAGTCAAATTCAAGCAGTGTTACCAGAAGGTTACTTTTGTAACCTTTTAGGTGATTTTTGAACTGCTTTGGTTACTTTTAGGTTACACTAATGAAAAGGTTACTTTTAGGTGATTTTTCGGAATTTGTCGAATTAACTTTTACAGGTTATTCAGTAAAAAAATATTAATAGTGTCAATTTACAAATTATTTAAATTGAAACGTGACACTCAAAATGTTGATGATTTCCAATTAATTTTAACACTTTGTATGAATTTTGGCTGATTGGTAAGATAAGAGTCGAAGATGGAAGTTGTTAGTACGAATCAGCTTTATGAATCAATATATTATGATATCAATCATCTGTGTGTATGTGTGCGTGGACTTTATGTATGTATGTGTGCGTGGACTATGTATGTATGTGAGCGTTACGTACGTAGGTTAAGTACAGGGAATTTAACACCAGGCTGTCAATTAGTAGGTTCAAAAATTTGACAGAGAGGGCTCTCTATTTCCTATGTATTACTTTTCTCTATGGCTCTGCACGTCAAAATAAAATATATAGTTCCAAAATACTGAACTGTCCTATGCATGACATTGACAGTGGGGCGCCACCGTCATTACCAGATCGCTGGTTCCGATTCTTACCATGTTGGAAACCATATAGTTGAACGATGGTAGCGCCCCCCTGTCATTGAGTTTGGTGGGACAATTCAGCGTGGGTCATCTATAGTTCCAAAATACTGCCCCCCTAGACAAAACGCACTTTTTGATCGAATCGAAAATCGAATCTGTCAAAACTCCATACAAAAAAGGGGCTTTTCGACCACTTTTCGACTGGTTTGCGATCATAATTTGCACTTTGTCTAGAAAATCGAATCTGTCAAAACTCCATACAAAAAAGGGGCTTTTCGACCACTTTTCGACTGGTTTGCGATCATAATTTGCACTTTGTCTAGACCCACTGAACTGTCCTATCGATGACATTGACAGCGGGGCGCCACCGTCAATACCGAATCGCTGGTTTCGATTTTTGCCATGTTGGAAACCATAAAGTTGAACGATGGTAGCGCCCCCCTGTCATTGAGTTTGGCGGGACAGTTCAGCGTGGGTCATCTATAGTAGTTTTTTTTTAATCGAAATTAAATGATGCGATTTGGGTATTTTGGTGAAATTACTAAAAAAATTTATATAAAAGTAGCCGCCTGGCATGGAACGTATTATGGGAGCTGAAAATATAGGAAATGACTCATTCTATCCGTCAAGTCATTTTGGCACACGATGCGCCAAACACCCTGTATATTAAAATAATGAAACCACGGGATTTATTACTTCATTTACCGTGCTTTTTAACTGTATTTTTGGAAATGAAAAAAAAATTATTTTTTCCTAAAAAAAATGCAAATTAATTTTTTTTCCTTGAAAATGCCGCGCCTGAAGCCCGCCGCTTGTGTGCGTTTAGTGAAACTGACAAGCAAATAAAATCACTTTTGACGGAATGTTTTGTAGATTTTTAATAACACCAATACATTTTTAATAGCTACCTATTAAATACTAAAATACGTTATGGCGTATCCCACACATGCCGGGCGGCACCGCGGCCGGCGCCGCGGCGGCGGTTTGTAAGGAACCCTCGGTGCGTGAGTCCGAATGGCACTTGGCTGGTTTTTTTTTATATTCTGGCCTGGATACAAGTCCGTTAGGTATCACCTTATCTCATTTACGCACATCCTGAGCCCCGATTACGGTAACTTTTAACGTTTCCAATCCAGACACGCTTCTCGATTCTGCGATATGATTGGTCAAAACAGCTGACGTACGCTGTTGAACGACCAATCGTATCGCAGAATCGAGAAGCGTGTCTGGATTGGAGACGTTAAAAATTACCGTAATCGGGGCTCTGGACACTTAAAACATTTTTTTACAACTAGCAGCCACCCTAGACTTCGTACGCGTGAACCCCATTTTACCCCCTTAAGGGGGGGGGGGGTGTAATGTCCGTTCTTAGGCTTTGTGATTAAGTACTTAATCAGTGAGTGGTATTTTGCGTTTGTTGTAGGTATGTTACGGTAAATGTGAAAATTATTAATAATTACCGGTTATTATGATAATACCGACAGTCGAGGTAAAAGTAATAAACTAATCACATTTATCAGTGATTATTTTATAATGTAACTGTTGCGAACGATTTATAAGTGTGTTTCATTGTCATCTTTGTACTTTTGCCTTGCTTTGGTTAAAAAA